AATGACATTGGCCATTGATAACAGATGGGAGAAGCACTTCCAGGGTTCCGATACAGACTGAAGATGTCTGTTCCCTCCCTACTGTCTTACTAAACACAACAGACTAGACCAAAGGTTGGCGAGGTTTCCAATAACAGGTGAAAGGTGATGATGTGGAGACTTTGCTGCGGTTCTCTATGGCGATCACATTCTAACTGAGAAGCAACGTTAAATGTTTCATATCCAGAAGAGCTCTCATCTACCGCCGTTCCCAATGAATCCAAATTGAATGATGCTCCGGACAACAACTGAACAAACACTTCCCCGACAGAAAGGGAATTTAAATTGCTTGCTGTATGTCATCACCCTGTCACACCAGCAGTCACCTCAGCAGCAGCATTACCCAAACATGGTACAGCTGCAGCTCCATGGAGCACTTTACATGCATTCCGCTGGAACCTCCACTGTTTATAGGAGGCAGCGGAGACGAGGGTTAAGTCATTTGTCCCAAGGAACTGGATAAATAGCGGCTACACCCTCTGGAGCACCTCTAGGAAAGCTCAGCTTTAGTGTAGCATCCTACAGGGTATTTATATTAACAGAGAGTGGAAATAATTGCTCAAGTGAATATTTTAAATTATACCTCGAAATACTCATAACTAAGGCAAAAGAAATGAGATTGGGGGTTTTGGCTGACTGAGATACTTCGTTCTAGTAATTTTCTGTTTCCTGTTATATATATATATATATATATATATATATATATATATATATATATATAAACACTGCTTACAGAAAGAGAAAATGAGCTAGGTTTCTCTGGATTACAAAAGTTAAAGAGGTATGTCCTATAAAGCTGAAAAACACTGACGAAACATTCTAAACATTAACAGCTATACTTTAAATAAGAAGACAGTGTAGAAACCCTTTGCTGGTTTTAAACATCAAAGCACGTATAATCTTGAAAAGGATAAAAAGTGCCTGCGTCAGTTTTCTGTTCTCTTCCAAATTAATTCTGCTGAGTTTCAAATAATTTCTTTGAATAATTATGTTTGACAGAGATAATGGTCAACATTAGTGAGGTGATTAAAATTAATGACAGCAATGTCCACGGGGCTATGTCTATGCAGGTGTTCCCCTCTGCTGTTTCCACACAAACATAAAAATGTTCAACGTATGGAGTTCTGAGTCTACCTGGTTTACCAGAAGTGACCGAGTTCAGCCCTTTCTAAAATGCAGAGAGAAATCCTCTATTTAGTCAATTAATGTTTTCTTGACATATAACTGCATTAAAAATGCATTAGGTTACATATAATTTAAACATATACTCATTGTATAAAGTGAACAGACAGTATTTTGAAGATTGGTTTCCAATCTTCAAAAGTTACTGAAGGGTCTGTGAATGTTAGTTCATCAAGCTAAGCAATGCTAATTGTTAGCCAGAATTATACCCACAACTCGGTACTCTGACAATTAGAAGGAAAATTATCTCTTTCTCTCTTTCCCTACCTGCTTAATTGCATGTCTACCTGCCTGTCCATCTGTCTATTCATCCTTCCAGCCACTGATAACCACTTATCCATTCTGTCATTCACTCATCCATCTTTATGTATTTGTTTCCTGGCTTACAGAAGATTAAGAGTGGTAGGAACACTGGAATGTCAGAGCGTGACAAACAGCAGGCAGTGATGTTAAGGGAAGGGACAGAAACAAAGGCAGCATGCTGTTCTGTTAAATGCCACCTATTAACTGACAGGTGGAGGATGCTATGCGGCCAGATATCTCTGATATATTCTAATGTGGAAAATTATATTCTTCAAAGTGACCACAAAACTAGCTTCTGCCTACATAAACTTTTAAAATGTGATCTTGGTACCTCTTCATTTGGGTGGCGCCCGAGCCCCCTTCCTGCAATCTGCACAGATGGACAGAATGTGGTGGAAGTATTGCTGGGCAGTTTCTGAGGCTAAGCTACAGAAGCAGATGCAATTTCTCTCTTGCTCATTTACCTATCTATGTGGGAGTGTTTAGCCACCATGTGTTTTTAGCTACCCAAGGCCTCTGTTCTGGAGAGGGTAGAAGAGGCAGGTATTCCAGTTGACATCTTAAGCTGAGTATCATTTGGATGTCCATCAGATGGTTACAGTGTCAGGAGACCCTGACTGTCACCACATCATACTCCCTTAGTAAGAACTGCCCAGACACAAGTAGCAAGTCAACAGGACCATAAGACACAATACAAAAATGTTTTAGCAATCAAATTTGGGGGTGACTTCTTATAGAGCAATGTTTAATAGGATAGTTCATGATAATATTAGCAGGGCATATAAAGTTCCATTTTATTACTTTTTCTTCTTTGTAACTTTTATGTTTATATGCTTAGAGTTGTGAAGTGAGTGCAATTTAAAATGCGTTCATGTTGCTTGCTAATATGGTGTTAGAGGATTAAATCACTTTATACCAGGGGTTCTTAATCTTTGGGTTGTGAGGCCTTTGGGGGTAACATATCAGATATCCTGCATATCAGAATTTTACATTACAATTTCTAACAGTAGCAAAATTACAGATACAAAGTAGCAACAAGATAATTTTATAGTTAGGGTCACTATAAAATGAGGAACTGCATTAAACTTGCAGCATTAAGAAGGCTAAGGAACACTGCAAGAATCAGCTATCTGGAACCCTCAACTAACCAGAACCCCCAGCTTAAAGGGTAAAAGCAAGACAACCTCTGAAAGAAGTCACAGTTGTTTATAAGTCCCTGCTTTATACTAATTGATAGTGTGAACAAAGGTAAATTGGTTAGTCTGTTTCTTCACCTTGGAAAGGAGAACAACAGTATAGTTGTATTTCAGAGAGTAGATATGTAAACCAAGGTATGAAATTCTCATGCTGGTATACATTGTTTAAGAATGACTTCATTATTTACCTAATTTCTTTGGGGCTCAGTCTCCATTTTGGTAAATGTCACTACTAAATATTCATTTACTGCATAATACAGAACCTCAAAACTAAAAAAAAAAAAGTTAAAAACATGTTTTATGCTATGAAATCTAATATAAATAGTGCTTTATACAAAGTTTATTTAATCTTCATAAAACACTTTTGAATAGCTATTACATTCATGTAATAGAAAAGGGCATTTAATATTTCTTTTCACAAATCTTCAGATTTCACTTCTTTAATAGCAACTACTTCTTGTATAGTGAATATCATGCCTTTACATATAATAATTCATTTTATTTAAAAATGTAGTTATGGTCTAAATATTATATTATCTTCATTTACCTGATGACTAACATCTTTCTTCATCTAAAATTTTCTTATTACAGCTCTGTCCACATATGGACTATTACCGGCTGACTCTGGGCTACTGAGGATCAGGCTCTCAGCTTAAACACGGTGTCACAGAAGGGCATCTGTGAAAATGCATGAGGCATTATTTACGACTACAGTGTTGTTGGTATTTAGAGGATGTCATAACCTATCGTATAAAATACATCTGACAGTCAAAAGAATCAGTTATTCTGTTTCATACAATTTTCAAACATCTGATAAGACATTCACGCTGTTAAAACAACTTAAGTTATCTGATCCTGCAACACAATTTTGTTTTTAGATAAACCTAATATGTTTGTATAGTTTAAATATGACTTAGCTTTTCCAGGCTTGGAGCCTTGCATTTTCCTTTGTTCAGAACTTTGCCAGGAGTTCCTCAGCATTTTAAACAATCATTTTACAGATGCCAGTGAACTTGTGCTACTTCAACTGAGAACCTAAGGTACCTGTTACTCTACCATGGCTGTCACCTTTATAAAGTCTCTATGTGTAGGTAACAGCATTATTTTGTCACATTGCCTAGTGCTCTTGAGATAAAGACGTTACCTACTGACATCATTTTATCATGAACCACATTTGTATTTCTCTATTTTATACTTTGGACATGTTATTATTGATTTTTACAAATGATGTTAGAGTTAGGAAAATCACTTATAATTTTCACTGCAGAAAAATAAATGGTATGTTGAAGATAGATATTAAAAGTTAAAATTCTCATGAAGAGGTAGAAGTACCGGGGGAACAGGATGAGGGGGAGGTAGAAATGTCCAGTCATTTAGGTGTTCCCCCAGGACTCTGTGCTGGGTGCTGGGTGCTACTCAGAGCTGGTCAGCTTCTCTGAAACCACAGTGTTGACTTGAACGATCTCTAGTACTGATCGCACAGCCACTGCACACACTGGGGTTCTCTTGGCCCTCACTTAGGAGGAAATGCTCAAGCTCAGCTCAGAAGAGCAGGGAACTGGTTCGGTTTGCAGCCCTTTCATTAACTACCCTGCTCACGGCCATAGAGTCTGATCCTAGTCGCTCCTGTTCACAGTCTTTTTTTATTTTTCCCCCTCCTCTATGGTTTTACTTAACTTACTGTTTCAATAGGTTTCTTATATTTTGCTTTTCTTTAGTTTGAACTTGTGAGAAAGGTCCTCAATACTTATACTAAGGCTGTGTTAGTAGTTGTTATGTAGCCCAGACTAGCCTCACCTCAAAAATCACAGAAATCCTCCTTGCCTCAGGCTCCTAAGACCTGAGATTTTAGTCATAAGCCACCGTGACTGGCTTATTCAAGTGCTGGGGTTATGTCCTTGTACAATCAGGCATCCTTCAACCTTATTCAGTGTTACTACACTGTTGCATATTTTTAAAGTCTTCCTTGGCATTGGTTCAGCCTTCAGGTTTCTCGTACAAGTTGTTTTGCTATTTATTTTCTAATGTCAAAGATACTTTTGAAGGAAATAGACATAAAGACATGTATTAATTAGCTGTCTTCAGTTAGACACTATCTTGAGTACTTTAAAGAAAGCAAATATTCTTTTCCACAATTGACGTGTTAATATCTTTAATAATTAGCTATAGATTTTATTGCAGACAAATAGATTCCATGGAATGAAAAACTATCAGAACTATGTTTTTTTCTGTTTTAATAAATTATCAAAAAGGTGCCAAAAAAAAAAAAAGGTGACTTACAGTCCATATCAAGAATGGCGTGAACAGATCTAATGAGCTCCCTGGATTCCAGGAGCAGGGCTGCTGGGAGGCTGCGCCGTCCATTTCTTCCCAGCAGTGGAAGCGAAGTCTGCGAGGAGAGCACAGCTCTTCTTTCGCTGTGTGAACAATGAAACGGCCTTGAGGGAACTGCACAGAAGTGACACCATCTTTGCTAAACCTGAATTTGTATCCATTGTGTTTGCACAAAAATGCTTCTTCTCAGGGAACATTACATTCACAAAGCTATACGAGAACGCAATCACATAGAAGGGTACTTTCACTTGTTTATTATACAGTTAAATGGAACTATTTTAAGAAATACTTTGACTTTATATATAACAAAGAAAGAAATGAAGGATAGCTGACATCCTAAATTGTTGGTCTTTTTATTTCATTTTGTAAAATTTCAGATTAAACATATAAACATAGTTTATTAAACAGAAGTTTTATATTGCTTACAGTAATATTAAATATACATACATCTCTTATATTTATATTACTTAAGAAATTATCTTTTAAATTCTCCTGTTTGCTGTTCCTCAAGGCTTTATATCAATATTTCTACTGTGATATTTTGCTTTATTTTTTATTAATATGTTTTCTTCACTGAAATTTCATATATATATATATATATATATATATATATATATATATTACATATTACATTTTGGTTATATTCTCCCATCCCTCTTACTTTCCTCCAACCCTGCCAATCCCCCTTCTTCCTTGTAAATCTCTTTCTCATATTAATTACTTTTTGTTTTATTTTGGGTCCCAAAGTTTAACTAGGGTGCCACCTAAAATAAATGCATTATGATTTATATATATATATCTTATATATATAAATATATAAGATATATATATCTTAACATCTAACATGTTCCTTAAAAATTACACTAAAGCTTTTACTTGAACAAGACAGATGAATTTATTGAAAAAAATCATTATTTACAACCCATCTTTTTAAACATTATGGCATTAGCTCACAAGGATAAACTTGAGAATTCTCTGATTCAAATGCATAGCCTTTCCTTCATGTTGGATGACCAAGGACGACATCCATATAGAATATATATATAAATTTTTTTGTTTGGTTTGGTTTTATGACACAGGGTTTCTCTACGTAGCCTTGGCTATACCAGACTCACTTTGTAGACTAGGCTAGCCTCAAACTTACAACAGTCCACCTGCCTCTGCCTCCCTGAGTGCTGGGGTTAAAAGTGTGTGTTACCACGCTTGGCTTAGAAGCAGTATATTAAGAAGAGTGAACACGACTGTAGTGGTATTTAACATTTAAGGCACAGCAGAAGTTGCTTATTATAGCTTTTTGTAAGAGGCCTTTCCCCCCTAGGAAATGTTTCAGGGTAAGGACTGGCTTTTAACTATTTTTAAACTTGATATTTGATAACAAAATTTTGAATTAGTAAAGGCCAAAATGAGACTTAAGAGTGTGGGGTGCACTTAACATGTAAAAGAGGACTGTGGTTACTGAACATTTAAAATCCTTACTGAAACAATATTCATAAGAGTCACAGCAATTTATTGTAAGTAGCATGGGCAACAAGAAAAAAAAGCCAGATTTTTTTCATAATGAGAAATTAAATATTAAAATGAATGTGAAAGTTATATTATTCTAAATTTGAAAAAAACCCCAGCTATGTTGACACTATTTCTTTCTTTCTTTTTTAAAGAGTTTCACTGTGGCCTCCGTGGTTGATGCTGAATTCAATAGAGATTCTTCTGTCTCACCTCCCAAATGCCGAGCCACTATGTGTGGCTCATTTCCTTTACTGAACTGTTCTTTCTCCAGTAATAACAGTATCTGCTTCTGAAGTTGGTGCTGGTAGATATGGGCACAATATGAATTATTGCCGTCTTAAGGAAATAACTACTTTGAACATACATCAGAAGGAATCCTTCTTCTGTATATGTCCTTAATCATGTGTCAAAATGAACAGAAAGCTGTGGCTTGAGACAAATAAACCTTATTTGTATGTTTGTAGCTCCAAGGAGGAACCCTGAAGTCAGCAGCATATTGTGAATAAAATACACTAAGGTGTAGTCTACAAACATGCTTTTATATATATCTACTGAATGATGAAGATGAAAGAAGATGATTGCGTGACTATGTTTTGCAAAATCCTATTGGACGTAATGCATCTGCCAGGCTGAGGATGATCTTCAGCATCTGCCATCGGCATTTTATCCACATACGGACAGCGTGTGCTTCTTCAGTTTTAGAGCACAAAGTTACAATGGCTGTAACACTTTCTTTTAAAAAGACAGAACCTTAACAGTATGTTCTTGCACTTACTTCCAAAAAGTTAAAAAAAAGAGGGCGGGGACATCCAATGGGAATCATGTAGCATTCTAAAACTACTCTAGTATTTTGGCTACAATTATTACATGAAGAACTGTATTCACACTCTGCAGAAAGTAAAGCATTCTTACCTTAAATTTAATAAAGGAGCAGAACTATCCAAAAGCACTTCTTGAATAGCCTAGAACAGACAAGATGGTGAAGGAGATTTGTAAGTTTGATCACTTAAGAAAAACCTTCCCTTGATTAATTTTTATAATTTCCTCCTTCATCGACTAGGCAGATGTTCCTATTATGGTGGGGCAGTCTATTATATTAACATGTAATTCTATTTAGAAATAATTACAAGATATTTATTTATTTAGAATATATGTATTCAATTTGTGTGTGTGCATGCGTGTGTGCATCGTGCACATGCATGCAGATGCCTGCAGAAGCTAGAAGAGGATGTGCATTCTTGGGAACCAGAGTTACAGTGGCTGTGAGGCACCCGACATGGATGCTGGGAACCGAATTCAGATGCTTCATAAGAGAGGCGAGCACTCCTAACTGCTAAGGCAAGCCATCCCTCTAGCCCTTCACGAGAGCATAGTGGCCAAGTTATGTTTATATGGTGTCAGGATTCTTAGGAAAGTATTCATTAAAAGACAGCACATTTTTATTATATATATTTATTACTAACAATCTATATGATGTTAATCATTCTTTTCATTTACCAAAGTAAATCTATATCTGATATCAGTAAGAATTGCTCTTTTGCAAGAGATTTTTTTTTTTTTAAGTCACCAAATACTACAACACTTTTCTGTGACAGAACTTATTCCCTCTTCCTCCCTCTTCTCTTTCAGTACTAGGGATTGAGCTTAGGACTTCATATATGCTACTGTAGCATTCTACCATATAAGTATAGTTCCAACCCTCCTTTCAACTTTTTATTTTGGGACAGGGTCTCATTTTAAGTTACCTAGGGTGGCTTTAGACTAACTTAGTACTCCAAAGAGGCCTTGAATTTGCTCTCTTCCAGCCATGGGAACCCAAGGAGCTGGGACTACAACCCTACGTCTTCAGGCTTGGTAACATATCTTAGAAACAATGTAATTTAGTTATTCCTCAACATGTACAGGGCATAAGTGTCAGGATCCCTGGGTCTATCAAAATCCTCAGATGCTCAAATCGTTTAGTAGGAACGTGTATGTTATATATGTATATATACACACACACATATATATATGAAATCATGTAGAGACGACTCAAATAATACACTACAGCTTTAATGTAAATAGTTTTGTAGTCTATCATATTCAAAATAATGACAGGTATGTTTCTATACTTGCTCAGTACAGAAACAAGCGCCTCAGGCCTGAGCACATAGCATGCAAATGAGGAATGGGGTGAATGACATTCTAGAGAGTCTTGGAGAGAGACGGTGGCGACTCTGGCAGGGTGGTCTACACATCACTTCATTTGCAAAGCTTCAACACAGTGCTGCGTGGGGTTTGTGGAGCTCCCTGGAGTTTTTGTTCCTGGACCTGCTCAAGGCTGCCCTCATTGCTGTGGAATTCATGGAGACAGAGGGCCAACTGTCAGAGGAAACTTACCTCTACAAAATGAAGGAGCCGTTCAGTAGATGCCTTAAAAGTTTTCCGAGCCATTTCTGATTTTCTCAACTGGCAGTCAAGAACTGTGACCCTCTTTCTCAGGTCCTGGATGCTTTCCTGAGCAAAGATGGCAAAAGCAACACTGTCTCCATTTCTTCAGTTTTCAACAACTTTTTCCAAGTTTTAGTTTTCCTGAACTAATACCTGATGCTACTTTGCTGTCTCTCTCTCGACAAGTAGGTTTGATTTTGAGAAGAGGGGCAATGTAACTAATTAAATATTTAAAAGTTAATTTACAGACAGATACCTTCAGTTCTGTGACATAGTCTGTATATGATTTTTACAGTGTCTTACATTCAGACTAGATTAAAAAAAGAAAACAGCTCGTTTTAACACAGGCTCACAGAAAGCCCTTCATGGGTAGCATAGTCCAAATGCTGAATATATACACACATATGCACATATACACATGCCTATATGATAAAATCCAAGTAAGGTTGGTCTATTAACAATGGGAGAGGTAGAATTATTCTATGAAGGGCAGCAGCAGTGCCCAGAGAAGTGAGATGAAAATAGAATCCTGAAGCATTGCTTGCTCTGAGGCGCATCCTGATCCTGGAGGTCCACACTGTGGGTTTCATCAGACACACCTCCATGTAGAATTGTGATGGGAAAATGAGTGAAACAATTTTCATAGAAAAGGTATTCTGATTTTGACTCTGCTCAGTAAAAAAGTCTGCGCTGAGTAATTGCTAACTCTAAGTCCCTAACCAGTAATGCTCAAACAATGACTGCTAGAGAATCAGAAGGAAATTTGGGGCCTAAATTTATATTATTTAGATGACATGAAAATCCATAACCTGAAATTATTACTTAAGTTGACTCTAGGTTAAGAGAAGCACAATTAAAACTTCTCTGGAAGCTATTTTCTAAATTGAGATATCATAGAATGGGCATAATTGTGTGTCAAAAGAATACAAAGTTAAAAAAAACAAAACAAAACAACAAACCACTAAACATGAAGAAATAGGTTTTGTGAATTGACAACCAGATACTGATCACATCTAAAAGAGTATATACATTAATCGGGTATTAAGCATAAAGTAACTATGTTTAGCATGTTCTAAAAAAAAAAAAAAAGTGAAAATACAACAGGACCAGAAACTCAAAATAGAACTAATGATATAAAGTCAAAATTTAAAAGTATAATCATTATGAAGTTAGAATATAACAAATAATATCCAATTTCATAGACCAAAAAAGAAAATGGAAAAACTGAAAAACAGAAGTTGTAAAGGTTCTGAGAATTGAACACAAAGGTAAAATTTGAAATATGAATGGAGGAGAGGTAAGAAAACACAGGTTAATATCTTGAAACACCAGAAAACAACAACAACAACAACAACAACAACAACAAAAAAAAAAAAAAACAAAGGGAAATGGCATGGGGACTGAAAAGATGTCTCCTTGTTTAAGATCACTTGCTGTTCTTACAGAGGACCAGGGTCCAGTACCCAGATATACAAGGGAGCTCACAACTGGCTGTATCTCAAAGTCTTAGGGATCTGACTCCCTTTTCTGGCTTTAGCAGGCACAGGCACAAATATGGTACACATACATACAGGCAAAATCTCATGCACTTAAAATAAGTAAATAAATAAATTTTCTTAAAGGTGGGCAATGTTGTGCATGCCTTTAATCCCACACTTGGGAGGGAGAGGCAAAGGGATTTGTATGAATTCAAGGCTAGGCTGGCATACATAGTGAGACCTTGGAGAGAGAGGTGGGGAGAGGGAAGGAGAGGAAGAGGAGGAAGGGAAGGGAAAGGAAAGGGAAGGGGAGGGAGGGAGAGAGAGAGAGAGAGAAAGAAAGAGAGAGGGGATGGGGAAAGAACTTGAAATGACAATCAGAGGATGACAGTTTAGGACTTTCCAGACATGGCAAGACAATGATCCTCATCTTAGAAAGTTTGATGAATCCCAAACAGCATAAAATATAATAGATCAGATCAACAAATGACTCATGAGGGTTAAAACACTGACTGTCAAAGAGATCCTAAAATCATATAGAAGAAAGCACATTGTAAATGACTAATAGCCTACCTGACAGCATGAAATAAAAACAATGAACAAAATTATGTAGTAACACAGTACTCAAAATGTATTTAAATATATTTTAAAAGTTGAATCAAGGTGTTTTTCAGAGAAACAAAATGGAGAGTTTATTGTCAACAGATCTTCACTTAATGAATTTGAAACAATTGTTTCAGGAAGCAAGAAAGTTTGAGCTATAATAAGGAATTACGAACAGAAGGTATAAATCCAAGGTCCACCCAGACGAATTTGGACCACATTAAACAACCTCCAAAAGTGACAATCAAGACAAAATTAAAGTGCTACCAGCAACAGAAATTAAAGAGGGAGAGATGATCAGGCTCATGTTCAAAGTACTTTTAACATGTACATGGGGGAAGTGATCGATTCATTTCCTAACAGGTTAATACAGAATGTCAAACAGGATAGGATAAAATTAGAGACGCAGGAGCTTGTGAGAAGGTTCAGTAGTTAACAGCGGACTCAGTTTTGAGTCCCAGCAACTACATGGAGCTTTATAACACGCTTTTTGCAGAAATAGTGCTGAACGTGAGTGAAACTCCTGCTGAAGCTGCAGCCAAAGTACAGGTGTGCTGGAAGATACACCATGCAAAGAAGCAGATCTTTACTCGATAGCTTCAGCCACCTCTTCCACAGCCCAAGACCAGGTCGCTGTGGAGGCCTAGATATCCTTCACAAGAGACCTCTGTGAGAAACAGGCTTGACCACTATGCCAGCATCAGGTTACCAGGACTGCTGAGGCGGCCACAAAGGCGTAAGATAACATTGTGAATGTCAAGGCCAACATGCATCAGATCAAAGAGGCACCCACACTGATCAAGCCAGACGCAGAGAGGGGGATGTCCAACTGGCTCCTGATTACAATGTTCTGCACGTTGCAAACAAACTTGGGATCATCTAAGTAATCTGAGTCAATCCTAAAGACACATTTGTCACCATATAAATATTGGAGATAGTATATAATTTTGAAATCAGCAAAGGGAAGTATATATAGTTGGGCAGAGAGGCCACAGAACAAATGTGGATTAATACAAAACTCCAGGAAAATAACTTGAACACATGGATAGCTACAATTAAAAGTAAGAAGACAAAGATGAGTCAGGTGCTTTAGTAAGGGAAAGGATACAAATGGAAAGTTATTTCTAATTACAGCTGAACAACTAATAAGTGGAGGCCGGAGAAAAGATCCAGCTTTATGTAAGCCACAGACATAACTGAAATAAACAGAAACTGAAAGTTGAAAGTGAATGAACTTTTAAAAATATGTAGGTAAATATAAAAAAAAAAGTATGTAACTATTTTACTATCAACAGAAAACACATGTAAGGAAAAAATTTGCAGATGGAAGAATCCTAACATTTTCATAAAAGATAGTTGTTTAATTCTAAGCTTTAATGTATCTAAAAGCACTGTTTCAAAACATGTAAATGACACTAAAGAAAGAAAATCATGAGATATATTAATGTATTTCTCTGATGAACTGATAGTTTAAGAACACAAATATATTACTATGAACAGAGAGAAACTGGACCCTTGATAGTCTCGACTTTTTACCTACATGAAACAGCACCTGATGTGACAGACAGCTTTTCAAGCCCATTTTGACCATTTTTAAGGACCTAGTACACACTGAGCCATGAAACAAACATCAGCAAATTTTGCAGGGTTATGATCCTATAAACCTGATTCTTTAGCCACTGACAAAACCTTTCTATGCTCTGTGCTATTATTCGTAAAAAGGGCAGAAAATTCTACCCAAGTTAATCTATATGTTCAATGATCACACAGTAAAAATTTAAATCCTTTTTTTTTTTTTTTTTTGGTGGTATTGATAAGGAGTATACAGAATATATAAGAAGACGGCCACGTAGCTAACACACTTTTGGAGAAAAATAGTAGACAGTATGATCAGACTATCATAAAAGACATAGTAAGAACAAACTGTGTTGTCTGCAGTTTGCTGTAATACGAGCCAATGAAAGGAATGCAGAGCCACATTCATATGGAATGTTGATATAGAGCAGACATTACTTCCAGGTGAATTAAAAAATGAGATTTTTAAGTCATTATTCATTTGGAATAATGAAACAATGAGATGGTAAAATATCAAAATTTTAAAACTTTTAGAAGCAAATATAAATAAAAATCTTTATATCTTTCAAGATCAAATGACTTTTGAAAAGACATGGAAGGAAAACTGGTAAGTGTAGTGGTCTGAATAAGAATGGCTCCCATAGGCTTATATATTTGAAGGGTTAATCTGTACTCGGTGAACTGTTTGGGAAGGATTAGGAGGTGTGGCCTTGTTGGCAGAGGTGTGTTACTGGGGCAGGCATTGAGGCTTCAAAAGCTCAGTATATTCCCAGTTAGCTTTCTAGCTGTCTAATGCTTGCCAATCAAGATGTAAGCTCAGTCTGATGTTTGTCAGTCAACACGTAAGATCTCAGGTACTGCTGCCATGCTGCCTGCTATAATGGTCATGGACTCCAAAACTCTGAAACTATAAGCCTCAAACAAGCTCTTCTTTCTTTAAATTGTCTTGGTCATGGTGTCTTACCACAATAATAGAAAGGTCACCAAGACAGTAAGTTTGCATGAAAATTAAGAGCTCTTTTCTATTTCATTATCAAGTAGAAAAGGCAGGCCACAAGTTTGAGAGAGTAGTTTTTTTATAATATATAAGTTACTATAATTAGTAATCAGGAAAATCACTAGGTGCCTCTAAGCAAAAAAACAAATGATCCGATGGAAAAATAAGTGAAAGATACAAAAACCCACTTCAGTGAAAAAAGTAAATGACTATTGAATGTAGAAACATATGCTCAACTGGTTATCTCAAGCAGGGAAGAGCAAATTGCAGGCTTACAGCATCTGAGGATGCAAATGACCCCATCATAGTTGATTTCAAGCTTTTAGCATCCATCAGTGAACATAGCATTGAGAAGAGGAAAGTTCTCATGAGCCAGTGCCTATGGTTCCCAGCACACCACTATGTCAGTCATTAGTAACTAGGGAAATTGAAATTAAACTATACTGGCATAGCAATTATTATACCAACCAGATGGGTAAAAATTCAAAGTAAAAGAAAGCCAAGGAACAGCAAGAGGTGAATGGTAATTTTTGTCCATTCTTCATGGCAGTACAAATTAGTTAAAAATACTTTCAGTCATAATTAGGCATTTACTTATAAATTTGAACATACAATTATCACCCAATCTGGCAATTCTACTTCTTATAGTAGCAGTTATACATGTGGAGAAATTTATATGTATCAGAATGTTCTCAGGAACATGATTTGCAGTAGAATAATGCAGAAATAATAAGACTGCCCATCAAATACAGAAGGAATAACTGCATGGTGGTAATTCACTCAGTGAAGAATAAAGATGAAAAAGATACCAACTACCTACAAATTAACCTGGCAAGCAGACAAAGCTAAACAGGGAGCAGATATACAAACAGTACAAATATAAAAAAAAAAAAATTAAGCACTAAATCCAAGAAAGCAGTAAACTCTGAGGTCAAGGACAGTGGATGCAATCTGAAGAGGGATATTGTTATTCTTCACAGGAATTAGTGATGTTTTGTTTTAGTCTTTTCAAAATATTTTTTATTTACATGTTTGCAAGCATGCCTTTGTGTAGTGTAAATGTGGGTGTGGTTGTCCATGGAAGTCAGAAAAGGGCACCAGGTCCCACACAGCTGGAGTTACAGGTTGTGAGCTATTCACTCTGGGTGGTAGGAACAGACTTGGGTTTTCTGTAAAAGCAGCATGTTATCTTAACTACTGAGTTATCTCTCCAGCCCCAATAATGTTTTATTTCTTATGCTTCAGATACATTTTCTAAAACCCAAATGTAAATTGGAAGATATATTGATAATTTAAGGGAAACTTATAACAATAAATAAAAGCATTATGGTAGAAAAAAAAATCTGTATCTAAATAAATATTTAGGTGTCTGGAGACAGTTCAGCTGGTAAAGTGCTTGTAGTATACCGGAGGACACAAGCTCCATCCCCAGCACTCATGTCAAAAGCCAGGTGGAGTGGCCCATTGCCATATCATCTCTGGAGAAGTGAAAGGAGGAGGACCTCTGGTGCTGCTGTTCCCAGAGACAGTCTCTGGGAACACTCATCTCCTCCTGTCACCAAAAGATGGTTGCTCTCCAGGAATGACCCTTGAGGTTGACTTCTGCCCTCCACATACAAGTGCACAAGATGCACATGTACTCACACACACGAAACCCTCCACAATTACAGAAAGAAAGAGACAGACAGACAATCAAGTATTTGAATCTTTGTTTTGTAGTATCTAGGTTAACAGACCCTAAGCAATTTTACACACCGTTGAAAGGTTTTCTTCTCTACTAGTATTGAAAATGGAAAATACTGAACATTGAGATGCTTATGTTTAATATCTTTTCTTTCAGAAAAATGAAAAAGATTGATTTCTGAGAGAGAGTGTAGGTTCTTATTAAAAAGATAAAATGAGATCCCCATAAGACTACAAAGAGGGAGAATCTGAATTAATTATATTACCAGGGCAACTTAGGACCAAAATATTTCTGACTAGAGCAGAGGAAATGGAATAACCTAAGCTTTACACAACAGAACACCGCACTGGGGACTGCAGAGATGGCTCAGTGGGTAATGGTGCTTGCTGCACAAACCTGGAGGTCTCAGTTTTGTCCCAGGACCCCACGTCAAGGTTAGTGGACTAGAAAATATTGTCCTCTGAATTCCACATACACATTGGGCCACATGCCCTCACTCCTCCAAAGACCCCATCACATGAAACATTTAAAAATATTTAATGACGCAAAAAAACAAAACAAAAACAGTAGGTAATTTTACGCAAATCTCTTAAACTTGAGAGTACACAGCTAAAGAGTAGTTCTACAATACAGTCTAACATGTATAAGGTCCTTCTTTAACCTCCAACACCACACATACACACACACACACATAAAACAAACAAACAAACAAACAAACAAACAAACAAACCAAAAAACATTTAAACTACTAGACACTGGCAACTTTTCCTCTAAAAGTACCTAATTATTTTATTAAAAGTGTTTTTGATATCTTGGTAATTTCTAAAGTATTTTCATAATTAGGTTAAGGTTACATGGCAGAGCCACACCTGAAATGGACACAGATAAACAACTGTCTGCAGCTGGCACTCCTAAGTGGTGCACCTTTCTCAAGTGCTCTGTGCTCCTTGCAGGGCCTCATCAGCAGCGGGTGGGGCTCCAGCCTTCTGTGGAGCTGCTTTAGATGAGCAGAGATCTGCAAAATGGTGGGGACTCTTCAGAGGTGAGCAAAGAAAATCTCGTATTTTCTGTTAAATTTTGCTGTTTGAACACTAGCTCCATTTTCATTTGGTATGTTAAAGAGCATACGACTTTACGTGCTTACAAATTCATCAACAGCTCAGATTTGTTTTTTATTCTCTTAAAAGCTGAATGGGTTAGAGAAATCAATACCCATTACTTGTAATTGAGGAATTTCTACAAAACTATGAAATATCTGCTTCAATTTATTCTAGTTTATATCTTCAGTGATATAATATACACATACACACACACACGCCCACCATAGTTTTTGAAGGCCAGTAAGGACTAAAGATAGTAGGTACACTGTGGCCGTGTACAGAGATGTCCAGCTTGCTTCCTCAAGGTACTCAGTATCTTTTATTGCAACCAAAAGCCCTTTTAGGGGAGCCCATTTTCATATTCTTTACATTGAAAGGAATCAAACAAAACAAATTCAACTTTGGTTTCTTCTCATTAGTCATCACAGGTCTTGTGTAAAATTTCATTAACTTGTATACTGCTCTGTGTTCTCTAATCAAAGAGCAAAACTCATCCCTTTAATCTCCTCCTTCCACCTCCGCAAAACAAATTAGCAAGCTCAGAAACAGAAAGAGAAAAACCGTGCCATCAATTAAATGTTAAATAGTTCCAGGCCTGAACAGCTGAATGGAACAATGTTGACCAATGACCCAATTAATTTGGGGCCTGTGCTTTTCCATCCCAAAGCTCTTTGGATAAAGGCAGGCCCACAACTTCCATGCCACCCTCTTCACGACACAACATCCTATCATTGAATAATAGAAGACGAACACTGACCTAGTTTAGACGTGCAGATGAAAAGAAAATGAAAACAGGATACATGACAGTGGCAAGGAAACCATGGCAACTAGAGAGGGCTGTTTGCTTACTTTATTTTGGTCAGAGTAATCAGCAAGCTGAGCCTTTAGCTCTGAGATTTCAGCCTCTAGCAGACGGATCGCCTCTTCATAGTCCATTTCCATGCCATGCGCCTGCCTCTGGGCAGCTTCAGCAAGATGAATCCGGCTTCTCAGAGCTCGTGTTTCTTCAGCTACAGCTTTGGCTTCCTAAGGAGTTAAAAGTTAATCTCAAGTGAATAATATGTAAAACATACTTCTGTGGTCTATACAAAATACTTTTCTCATCTTGGTAGCCATGATTCCAAAGCTTACTGTGTCTATGTCCTCTATCTTCCAATAACCACACCTTCCACCTAAAAACCAATAATTGCACTGTTTCGCTAGGTGAACTTGTTACCCTGTCTTTTGTTGGTTCCCTGAAATTTTTTTCAATATGAAGATTTTTCTGTATAAAGACTCTGTATGGGTCTTTAGCGTCACTCATCTAGCATTATTCTTGGAAAGATGAAAGAAGGTAAAGAAAACTGAAAATCAAAATAGACAAATAGGAACTGCTTCAAATGACAAAATGAGTAAGCTACAGAAAAACTAGTAGGTGCCAGGGCCGGTGTTCTCAGAGGGCTGTGCAGCTTCCTTACATGCTGTGGATGGGCTTACATAGTGCTGTGGGGCTTCTTGGTGGGCCGAACCCCAGAGGCAAAGCTTTCTTCCTAGATATCTGACTATTGCTTCTTGTTTTGGTAATAGCATAATATATAATTGTTTACCTGTTAGATCCAATGTTCAAGAGACAGTTACTAATATATATGCTTTATATGTCTTTGCTCATTCAAGTTGTGGAATAACATCTAGGGAAAAGCATTAAAAAACCATTCACAGACAAGCAATCGCAGACGCAAAGAATAAAGCTGATCAAGGACATGCAATGTGCCAAAATTTGAACCTAGGTCTGTTTGACTTCAATACTAAGATCTCCTTTCATCACTTTACTGTCTTTGAATGACAGAATAAAAAAAAAAATTGCTCCAAACACTAGCTATACTCTATACCTTGGAAGGTTAGGGTGGCAAAAACCATTTGCTCTCTCAAAATGTGCCTTGGTGCTGGGTCTCAGTTCCCTGGGACAGCTGCGTAATTTAACATGGCAGCTATTATGCATGAAACATTTCTTCAGTGGGTGCAGGGATCTCTCTTCTCTGTAATGGAACTTTCTGCTCCAATTGCCATGGCTAATATTAAACTATGGCTATTTTAATGTTCTTGAAGCTGTTATGGAGCATTTGCTTTTGTTGGAGCATGAAGTACTGAGAGAAGGAAGGGTGTGGGCATATTCTCAAGGTTCTGTTTTCATTCAGCACCCAATAACTTTATTATATGTCAATTTCTAGAGTATGCATGAACTATATACACATGAAACTCTCCCCTCCAAAATCTACATTCTAGTTTGGAGGGACAGACAGTAACTTAGGCTCATCAGTTATGATCTTATTGTGAAGACATTGACTAGAGACTCATAGAAAGGACCATGCCATGATTTCCTGAAAAGAGGCTTTCTGGGAAAAAGGAGCACATATGCCAAGGTCCTGGGATTGGATTGGGTTTTGTATCATTGGAGAACATCAAGGTAGTCAGTGAGACAGAGGCAGTGACCAGTCTGGGAAAAAGACAGGATAGTAGGGGGATACCAGGGCACAGAGGTAACATGAGTGTGTGTGAAGACAGGGTGGCCTGGAAAAGCAGGCCTATGAGCATCGTCAGGCCATCTGAAAAAGCTTGGTTCCCCTCAGAGCAGTATAGGATGTGACTGGAGGGTTTTGAACAGAGAAGTGATATGAACTAGCTTAAGTTTTAGGAGCGTGCATTTCACAACTCAGTTAAGAACATCAGTGGGAGCAGAAAAAGGAGGAAAGGAACAGAGCTAACTGTGGTTGGCCAGGGTGGCTGTAGGAGACGGTAGATGAGGCAGTTAGAGTTCCAGTTTAGTTTAGGAGTAGAGCAACAGGCGAGGTCATCAACAACACAAAATTTGACAACCATGGGATATGATGTAAGTATAATACAAAGGGGTAAATAATACCTATATCTGTTCTGACTCGGCCTAGAACATAAGGTATAATGTAGATAAATGGAGGAAAAAGTGTTAACTAAAATAAAAACAGCAAAAGCAGGAAAAAAAAAAACAGCAAGAACAAAGAACAAGAAGGAATGTGGCACTCAAGAAGTGATGGTGGATTTTGATTGAGGAAGAGGAATCCGACTGGGGGATAATTTTTTGTTTGTTTGCTTGTTAGTTTTTAGAAGAGGATGAAAGAGAAACGGAGAGGGAAGAAAGGGGATCATGGGAAAGTCTCTTGAATCTATAACACTGTAAGACTTCTTAATGGGAAACAATCTGAGAGTGCTTTAGAAAGATAAGCTTGAGGGCTGGGGTTGGTGTGCAGTCAGCCCTTGATTAGATTCACAGCATAGTGAAAAAAAAAATATATATATATATATATATGTATATATATACATATACAAATGAATACATCAAGTTAATTTAAAAATGTAAACCCGACAGCTACCTGCAAAATGGTCTTCTATACCTGACGTTCAAAGAATTTTATTCTCTTGTATCTTGTCTTATATTGTAGGACACTGTAACACACACAGTGTTAAGGCAAAGCCTTAACATACTGATGGGCTAGCCTACCTTCACCTTAGACTTAAAAGCTATCTCACAGTAATGATAAACTAAGTTCATTCCTGTTTATGATTAAACCTCTATATCTGGAGGGTTGGCCAATGCCCCATCTGTAACCTTAACTACAAATGGTTCTGTACTGCCTATTCCAGGAACGGCAAACATGTCTTTGTTTCAAAAGGTTAAAAATCATCTTGCAACACTACCACCTTTGTTTCAAAAAGGCTCTTAGGGCTTCCTAGTTATGACTACCTGTTGTCATAATCACCTTGCAACCATGTCTTTGTTTCAGAAGGTCGTTAGACCCAACTTGGTAGACTTATGTTCTGCTCCTCTAACCCCACCTATTCTGCCCACCAAATCTCCCATTTGGAAAGCCCCTGTCCCTGAGCTATAAAAACACTGTTTTTCTCACATGCAATGCTGACCTCTTGAACCTCACCTTAGGGGGAGGCACGGATAAAAAAAGCTTGCTTTAATTAATTGCTTGCAAAACCAGGCTCAGTGGTGCATGCCTGGATTCCTAGCAGTCTGGGAGGCTGAGGCAGGTGGATCTCTGAGTTAAAGGCCAGCCTGATCTATAAAGTGAGCCCAGGACAGCCAAGGCTACGCAGAGAACCCTGTCTCAAATAAAATTAAAAAAGAAAATTGCTTGCTTTGATTAATTTGGCCATGATGATTTGGGCAGATGGTCTTTCTCCTCCCATCTTTTTGAAACAATACCAGCTCTGTATATACCAAGTCAGCTAACTGCATACTGCAGAATAAGGTAAGCCTATAATTATTCTAATTTCAAAGACAGGGCACCCAAGCTCAGAAAGCTTAAGTAACAAAAACACTTATAAGTGGCAGGGTAGGGGTTTGAACCGATGCAGTTCAAGACAATTAAAAAATTCAGTTAATGGAGTTTTTGTTCTTGGTTATTAGTCTATACTATTTGGTGAACTACAGAAAATGTTATTAAAAATGTTTTTAGGTACCAGTTATTGCCAGCACCAGCCCTGTACTAGCTTAGGATGTGGTTTATAACAAACAGACTCAAACATATTTGAGGCCGGTGCACTGCTCCCCATTTTCTATTCAATCAAAAACAAACAAAAGGCCTCGAAGTGAGAGAGGGCGGGCAGCAAAATCCCAGCTGCAGTGAAGATTCACTAACTTGATGATCTGTCCTTTTCACACACACTTCGCACGGCTTTTATTCCTCTATAAAAACAGCACTCTTATTTTTGTTCAAAGGACGCTGGTTAATTAAATGAAGAGTGTGGATGGGATTTATGCTGCTGTGGCAGCGCAGTGACGGTGGTACAGCGTGAAGTACGGCTGGGTGGTAAGAGATGCAGAGGTTCTGATGCTGAATAAATTCATGCCATTTCTTTTGTAAATGTATAACTGTCAGGCTGGTGAATGTGACCCCGTAGCAGAGTTCTAGCCCAATTCCCATTGAATGGCTGCTTAAAAGATTAGTGCATTGCAATGATGCCTTTTAGAGGAAGCAGTAAAGAAAAGATAACAGCAGTGGGCCGGATTTAGAAAGAGAGGATCACAACAACCCATTTTCTCTTTTCCTCCCAGGCTGTCTTCTAATAACTAACTGCAAAGCCTCCTATGTCCCTAACATCTGAGCTAGAATTCTCTGAGTACCTCACCATGAGCCTGCAATCCCAGTTAGGACAAATACAGTTGTCATTTACTATTACACTTTATATAGAGTGTTAATTTATATAGAGGTTAATTTGGATTACAAAGGTAGATCTTTTCTTTTTTTTTAAGATTTATTTTTATTATTTATACAACATTCTGCCTGCACACCAGATCTCACTATAGATGGTTGTGAGCCACCACGTGGTTGCTGGGGATTAAACTCAGGACCTTTGGAAGAACAGCAAGTGTTCTTAACCTCTGAGCCATCTCTCCAGCCCCCATAAAGGTAGATCTTGAAAGAAAAACAAAGACATAATAGCAGATCAGAAAAATCGGGCTAAATATGCCCTCAAATATTAAGTAGTATAGGCAAACTCAGTAGAGGAGAATCCTGAAATATAAGGGTAAATCAGAACTTTCCTAGGGAGAACTTTTCAGTGAGAAAATGCCTTTGGTACACAGTGCCTCTTTGGAAAATAAAGATTTTCTTCCCCACAATTTTGCAATGAATCTTTGGGAAAGATAAGGCCAATTCTTCTTTGAAAACATAATTCAAGCTGATGAAAACCTTTGCAGGCAGCAGAAACTATTCTGGCCTCAGCTAAACTGCACTAAGACAATGCTGTATAAGGTCAGATAAAGGGCACTGTGCTGAGTGTTTTCATACATGCAGCGCTCTCATCCACAAAGTAACATGATCTACAATAACAATACCCCAAAGCACTTGCTTAGTACAAAAGGACAGGCTTTGGATGGGTCCTAGCTACTTCGGTTAGATCTGATTGATTTTTTTTCTTCCATTTTCTGCCCATTAGTTCTCTAAGACTCAGCTTGTTCATCTGATTGGTGGGCTCTAACAAATACAAGACCAAAACAACTC